ACCAGCAGATATACATATACACATACATATATATATACGCATTCTTAAATGAATAAACATATAGAAAAGAGAAACAGTTTCGTTACACCCTCAAGCGTGATGGACTCTTAAGGTGAATAAAATTCCTGTACCATGTTCTTGAATCTATTTAATGTTTGCGCCTGCCTGATGTTAAGCGGCAGTGCATTCCACAAGCGCACAGCTTCAACAGTGAAGGATTGGTCATAAAATTTGGTGGAATGCAGTGGCATCTCCAGTTGTAAACTTACGGATGACCGCAGACATTTTTCGTGTGTGTCATTAAGGAACTTGAATCGTTCTTTGAGGTAGAAATGGGTTTTGGGATTAAACAAAATGTTGTAAAGGAAAATAAGGATATGAGTATTCCGGCGAGAGCGAATTGGAAGCCACTTGAGCATTTGACGGAATTCAGAGACGTGATCGTATTTTCGTAAACCAAATACGAATCGTATACACATATTTTGTAGTCGCTCAAGCTTATCGAGTTGTGCTTCAGTGAGATTCAGATAGCTGACATCGGCATAGTCGAGAATTGGGAGGAGAAGTGCTTGTGCAAGCGCAACCCTAGTTGCAGTTGGAAGGAATTTGCGTAGTCTTCGAAGAGAACCGGCTGAAGCAAATATCCTACGACTGACCTCTTGCATCTGTGGACCCCATGATAAAGTGTTGTCTATGTAGATCCCTAAATTTTTTACAGTAGTGCTTATCTCAAGAGTTGTGCCACCGAACTGAATTTGGGGCAGTAGAGTCCAGTTAACTTTTGAGATCAGCCTGGGGCTGCCGATAACACACACCTGTGTCTTCTTAGGATTAATCATAAGTCCATAGTTATAACTCCACTCGCCAATGCGTTGAAGGTCAGCGTTAATTATGTTGAATGCATCCGATAACATGTTAATCGGAGCTTGTGTATATATTTGCAAATCATCTGCATAAAGGTGGTAGAAGGAACTTAGTTGATTAGAGATTGAGTTTATAAAAACAGCGAAGAGTAAAGGAGATAGAACGCCACCCTGCGGTACACCAGCAGAAATACTGCACCAAGAGGACATGGAGTCATCAATGCAAATCCGTTGCCGGCGACCAGACAGGTAACTTTGAAACCAATCAATTGTCCTTGGAGATATGTTAAGAGACCGTAGTATGCCAAGCAGAATGTGAAAATCCACAGTATTGAAGGCATTCCTAAAATCAAGTAAGGTGAGAACTGTGATCTTTCCACTATCCATGCCTAGTCTGATGCTGTCTGTAATGTGTACCAGCGCAGAAGTTGTGCTATGGCCAGGGCGAAATCCGGATTGGAAGGGGTTCAGTAGAGAATTTTTGGAGAGGAAGTTAGTCAGTTGAGAGTGGATGAGGCGTTCAAGTACTTTGGATAGGAAAGGTAAAATAGATATGGGCCGATAGTCAGAAAATGAAGAGGGTTTAGTTTTTTTTGGAAGAGGGATTACTTGGGCATCTTTCCATGCAGATGGAAAAACACCGCTTGTGACGGAGTGATTAAGGATATTGCATGGGATAAGTAGAATTTCGTCAAGGATAGGTATAATCATATTTCGGCTGATGCAGTCACTTCCCACTGCGTTGGATGAGATCGCCAGAATGGTCTTCCTAACATCACAAGCGGACAACTGATCAAAGACGAGAGGTGGATAGTTGGGAGTTGGGGTAGTAGAAATATATCTAAGAGTATTAGCTTTTGTACTGTCACTAATGTCAGACGAGGCAGAGAAATGTTTATTGAGTAAGTCAATGTTGACATTTTTGGGAATAGGCTCTTGGCGAGACCTCCCGACTCCCAATGTTCTTAGAAATTTCCAGACTTTTGCTGGATCTCCGTTTTCTACGGAAGAGTGGATATATTGGCGTTGTGCGTTTCTACACATCTTATTGCAGAGATTTCTCAGGTACACATATTTTTCCAGGTTCGCTTCGGTTGGTCGACGCTTGTATTTGCTTTTCGCTATACATTTCCTGGACATAATGCTGCGTATCTCCTCAGTAAGCCATGGAGCCGGTAAATGTTTAAGCTTTATTGATCGCAAGGGTGCGTGGACGTTATAGAGCTGTATCAAGTTATCTGTGAATATTTGGACTTTATCATTAACACACTGCGAATTTAACAAATTGTTCCAGTTGATGTTTCGCGCATCTTCCTTAAGTCTTTCAAGATTCATCGCGCCAAAATTACGCTGCACAAGAATTCTCGGCTTTGCCTTGGGTGGTCGGATAGCATAAGAGAGAAATATCAAGTCATGATAGGAAAAAGCATCAGCGGAATACTGACCATGGCTGATGACATGATCAGTAGAAGAGACTAGGATAAGATCAAGAAGAGAGGGAGTGCAGTTAGGGAAGTGATGTGTAGCATCAAGTGTTAAGAGTGAGATCTTTTATGATTTGTATGAAGTGCCGTGAGTCTTTCACAAAAGACGGTGTTTTGCCTATAAGTGGTTGCAATACTGAAGCAACGTTCTTTGCTAGATCGTAAGTAGGAGAAGCAATTTGACTTACAATCGGCCGCAGCGGTACGTCAGGCTTGTGTATCTTAGGCAGACAATATAATTTCGGTGGCTGGTGTGACTTTGGTTTGTACAGTCTGTTGTACTCGTCTTCTGAAAATAGGTCCTCATTGTTCCGGATTAGAGATCGTTTTTTTCGCGTTACTCTGGCCGTGGGGTTGTATGTTACCGGTTTATAAACCTTATTATCACTCAACAGTTCAAGTATTTTGCTTTTGTAATCAGTTGTATTCATCACTACGGTAGCGTTTCCCTTGTCGGCCTTAAGCACTAAAATATCCTGGTTATCCCTAATGTTTTTCAGTGCTTGACGCTCTTCGATAGTGATATTACTAGCCGGAAGCTTTGACCGACGTAATATTACCGCAACGTCCTGTCTTAGGATATCGGCATCGCCGGGGCGGTACTTTGTTCCGTGTAATCGATTCCTCGACGCTACTGATTACATTCTCGAACGGCAATCCAGTGGTTGATGCCTGCACTTCATACAAATCATAAAAGATCTGACGTTGGAACCGGATGACGTCATGGTGAGCTTTGACGTGGAGTCGCTTTTCACCAATGTTCCAATAAAGGAGTGCCTAAACGTCGTAAAAGACCTACTGAGAGACAACGAGCTGCCGTTAAACTATATGGATCTACTTGAACACTGTTTAGATGGCAACTATTTCCTTTTCCAAGGTCAACATTACCTCCAGATTGATGGTGTCGCGATGGGAAGTCCTGTAGCCCCAGTACTGGCCAACATCTGGATGGACCATTTTGAAGAGAAGGCTTTAAATCTCGGCCCGAATACCGTTAAGCTATGGAAGCGATACGTGGATGACATTTTCAGTATCGTCAAAGGAAACAAACAAGAAGTGGATCAATATATACAACATCTAAACTCTATTCACCCCAAAATGAGGTTTACATATGAAATGGAGACGGACAGGTCGTTGTCCTTCTTAGATGTTAAAGTAGCCGTGAGATCGGATGGGTCCTTGTCACACTGTGTGTACCGTAAACCTACTCATACGGACAGATACCTACACGCCACGTCTCATCATCACCCCCGGCACTTGCAATCTGTTATGACTTCACTCAAAAACAGAGCTTACGATCTCTGTGACCCTGAACATTTAGAACAGGAGCTAAAACATGTTCAGGAGCTACTCAAAGGTAACGGATATCAAGTGAAAGGAGGACGGAAGCAACCGAAAATAAGACGCAAGTATCCAGAAGTGAACAGGCAACCGGCCTATATGCCTTATGTCAAGGGAGTTACGGACAAGATCGGGTCTGTACTAAAGAAATATTCCATTCCGACAGTATACACACCAGGCATAAAGGTTCACAACATCGTCGGCACACCGAAGAATACATTGCCACTACAAACTCCGGGTGTTTATAAAATAGACTGCAGCTGCGGAAGCTCATACATAGGCCAAACTAAGCGGACTATTGCAGAAAGGGTCAAAGAGCATATCGCTGCTGTGAAGAACCGACAGACGAGCAAATCAGCGATTGCAGAACATGCACTCGATGCAGGCATCAACCACTGGATTGAATTTTACCGCACGCAAGTCCTCTCCACCGAACGTCACTTTTACTCAAGAGTTGTACGTGAAGCGATTGAGATTAAAAAGCATAAAACTTTCAATCGGGAAGATGGTTTTAAATTATCTACAGCGTGGAATCCAGTGTTAAAAAACATACCACCTCGCTTTTCTGCGCAATCGGTTAAACACCAGAATAGGGACTCATCGGTTTGCTTACAGAATAGGGACACTGTTAGTGTGGTATGTGACGGTACATGGCGACACAAAAACAATATCGAAAATGTGCGGGTAGATGAAGAGCCTTCTACTTCACGGATTCGACGACGGAGGGCGTGCGCCGATGAGCCAGTCAGCCTGTGACCACGGCCGGTGCAACCTGGTCGAAACGTCAGGCAAACCAGAGGTATGTAATACCCTAAATAAGAGATCGCGTTAATTCCCGGTAAATAATATTAATTATCATGGAACGCGAAAGTTTAAAAGTTAGTGAGGCCCGGGGTAGTTAAACACCTCACTACCCCGTGCAGGAGACGAGGCCCGGACAGACCGGGCCAGCACTAGTGTGGGGCTGCGGAAGAATTTGGATTCCGGCGGCCCCGCGCGCATGTGTGAGGGGACACCGGGGTGGTTTTAGCCGGTAAGAGTCCGGCACGCCCCTCCGCCTTTCCCCAGGCGGAGGCAGTCCATGAGGATTTCCCCCCGAAAAAAAAAAAAAAAAAAAAAAAAAAGGCGCCGATTGCTTCATGTTGATAATATTCTTTATTGTTGTCCATGTACCCCTAGGGTTCCCTTTGTTTTTATTGAATTCATATCTATCGTATTCCACTTTTCACTCGCTGACAGCGAATCGTCGAAGTCGTGCTGCGATACAATATTGAAGTACCGTCATTACAACAAAAAAGCAAAAGAAATAAAAATGGTTAAGTGCCTAAAATGTAATAAAGTGATAAATAAAAAGACTCCTGGATTGCAGTGTGTTAAATGTATGAAGTGGGTACATGGGACGTGTGCTAATCTATCTCCTGACCAGCTAAGTGTGTTATTTGATACCGAATCAGCTGACTGGAAATGCCGAAGTTGCACTGGAAACACCAAACCAAAGCGACTATCATTCATAATGCCTGATCAGGAGGAAGAAGAAAACACTGATTCGGAGAACATGTCGGCATCTTGTATAACACAAAAGATGATTTCTGAAATACGTCACGAAATACGTGACATTATACAAAGCGAGCTACAAAGTGTTCTTCAATTCTACTCAGATGAGATAGACGAGTATGAAATCAAGATGAAAAACTATGACAACCAAATTGGTGAATACAAAAATATGTGTAAAAATCTAAATCTTAAAAGTGAGGTACTTGAACAAAAAATTAATACCATTGAGCAAAACTTTTTGAGTAACCACCTCGAAATTCATGGCATACAAGAACAGACAGACGAAAATATTATGTCTATAACTAAGTCAATATGCGTAAAATTAAGCCAGAAGTCGGAAAGTGTCGTTAAAGCATACAGAAAAAAAGTTAACAAACGAGGTACGGACACAACAAAACCCTCACCCATCGTAGTTGTTCTCGCTAACGGCGATGAAAATAGGTGGATAACCGCCTCAAAGTCTAATGATATTAATACTAAAGACATAGGTATGAAGTACGACTCAAAAATATATATCCGTGAGTCCTTATCACCAAACAACTCATTTCTATTGTGGAAAGCGAAAACCACACTAAAACATAGTGGGTTATGTAAGTTTGTATGGTACAAACGAGGACTTATCCTAGCTAAACGAACTGAAAAAGAGAAATTGTATGTCATAAGAGCCATTGAAGACATTGAGAGGCTCGTGGCTGAGTTTAGCAACAATAACAATGCAAAACGAATACGGTGCCGTAGAATAATCTTATACTTACGGTCATCAATTGTAATACTAAAACCACAACACTCATGGATAATCTAAGTTCAAATATTCAAGAAACCAATACAGATACTTGGAACGAATTCATTAGAGATATTCCTTTCAAACAAAACGCCTTAACTGCCCTCCATGTAAACATTAGATCCATTACTAAAAACATCGCCCAGCTTGAATATATAATAACAAGCAGTACAAAAATTATCAGCTTAATTGCAGTAACGGAAGCCAAAATCTCGGTCGAATGTGCAAAGATGTCCGAACTAGAAAACTATGAAATGTTCCACGAGCTGCGTGAAAACAGAAAAGGTGGAGGAGTTATTTTGTACGTACATAAAAGTCTAACATTTGACAGGAACCCCACGTATACTCGCAACTTTGAATGTATCTCAGGTACGATTATTACAAATTATAATTACAAAATGGACGTGTGTATAGTGTACAGACCGCCTAATTTAAGTAAAACGCTATTTATCTCCGAATTATCGCAACATATTTCTGCATCACAGATGAAGAATAACTATGCATTACTAGGCGACATGAACATTGATCTGTCCAAAAGTAGCGCAATCGCCACACAATACCTTAATGAATTAAGTGGACTGGGACTGGAGCAGGGAATCAGTCAATATACGCGTATAGAACTAAAAAATAAACTCAGCAGTAACACCTGTATTGATCATATATTTATCCGCGACTCAATGGTGCATAGTGGTAAATATACACGAACTATAAGAACGGCAACGATAAACAATGCATTGGCCGACCATTTTATAACCGGTTTTATAATCAATGATAGTACGTGCACAGGAGGTAGTAGCCAAACCATACTTAAACTAGACAACGATAAGGTGCATAGTTTAATGCGCGAGATTGACTGGAGCCCGGCGCTCGCTTACGACGATCCTAATGAGGTACTAGAATTTATTTTAAACAAATTTAGCAATATATATGATAGATGTAGTTATAGTTGTAAACAAAGTATCAATAAGCGAAGTCACTGGGTCGACGAAAGAATGTTGTATATGTGTTCTAAGAGGGTCGAATTGCTTAAAATATGGATAAGTGATAGGAGTAATAAGGCAAATAAACTATTATATAATAAATATAGAAATAAAACAAATAAATATATAAACAAATTAAGAAATAATAGTATAAAAAAGGATGTGATTAGTAACTTCCACAGTCCGAGAAATGTATGGCAAATCATAAACAAACTATGTGGCAAGTTGTCAAAATCTGTTGACGAAATAATAACTAAAACTTTTAGTACATATGGCCTGGAAGACTTAGTGAATAAATTTGCAACGGGCTTTAGAAATAACGTAGACAATATCTGTTATACCTGCGGCAAACAATTAATAAAGGAAAATACATATGTAAATCACCCCCAATTAGCAATGAGATTAAACAAGGCCAGTAATGAAGTTATTGAATCCATAATTAACCATTTAAATAGCAAAAAAAGTCCAGGTTTTGATGGAATCCGTGTTTCTGACATAAAACGCATTAGAATCCCTATAACCCCTATAATTACGCATTTAATAAATACCTGTATTACTAAATCAGTGTATCCGGATAAACTAAAAATTGGAATTATAAGGCCTATACATAAAAAGGGCACATACAAGAACATAAATAACTATAGACCGATTACAATCCTCTCATGTTTAGATAAAATTATTGAAAAATACTTTAGAAATGAAATAAATAAATATTTAAAAGCTTACAACATAATTCACGAACGCCAATATGGATTTCAAAAAAACAAAAACACTTCCCAACTATTATGTAAATTCACGAATGAAGTAAACACTTATTTAAATAATAAAAACCATGTAATTGCTGTTTTTGTTGACTTTAGTAAGGCATTTGAGACATTGAATTTCTTTACTATGTATTCCAAGCTATCGCAAAATGGTATTCAAGGCCCTCTTCTGGATTTTCTTAAGAATTATCATTCTAACTGACAGACTACTGTAAAAACAGGAAATGTGTTTAGTAACTTCATGAAAACTGAAAAAGGCACGGCCCAAGGCTCGGTGATTGTCCCGACGGAATACTTATTATATTGTAACGACATGTGTAATGTACTCAAGGAGGGTTCTGTATACCAGTTTGCTGACGACACTTGTATAATAGTGGCCGATAAAAATGTAGCTCATGCACAAAATAAAATGCAACAGACCTTTGATTTGTTATGTAAGTGGGCGCCCGATGTAGGCTTAATCATAAACTACGAGAAGACAAAAGTCATGCACATTCAATCCACACACCTAAAGTCTATGACGAGGCCAATCATACGACCGCACCACCATCAATGTCTCCATAACCCATCTGTACTAACATGCAAGTGTCCAGCACTGGAAATAGTATCTCAGCACGCTTATCTCGGCCTAATAATTGATAACAAATTCAACTGGCGACCGCATATAGACTATGTTTGTAATAAGTTAAGAATAATATTATCGAAAATGTCTCTGCTCAAATTCAAATTACCATTTCACACTCTGAGAATGTTATATAATGCATTGGCAGATTCTATAATAGGATATGGTCTTAGTAGTTATGGTAGAACATATAATACATACATAAATGATATCTACAAATTACAAGTAAAATTATTGAAAACGATAGTGCCTTTAGCTATTAGAAATAAATACAGGAATGATACTAACAAGTTGTTTAATCACTGTAAAATCATAAACATATATAACAAGATAAAGATGTACATTATCTGTGATGAAATTGGGAACGTAGCTTCATTAAAATTAAGGATAAGATTAAATAACCTACGTAGCTTGCCATATTTACCAAGGTATGTACTACCATCTTACAACAACATGTATGGCAAGCGTCGTTGGCAATATGTTGTACCACAACTACTTAACGAACTAAAGAACAACATTGTGGATAAACTCTCGGAGAATCCGCGGAAATGTAAAACGCTTCTCAAAACAGTTTACCTTACAGAGGAATGAGGTGAAACTATTACAGACTGCATATACACGTATATGTGTGTGTATGTGTATGTGTGTATGTGTGTATATATATATATATATATATATATATATATATATATATATATATATGTATAAATATAAAATTATGTATAAAAGGAAAAATTATAATAATAATAATCATCTGCAATGTACTACATACAAAGTGATGGCAGTGATACATAAACCACCTGTGGTTTTCTTCACTGTTACTGTATTTACATGAACTCTAACCTTGTGCCATGAACAAATTAAAAAAAAAAAAAAAAAAATTAGTTTTTGTAGTAAATTATTGCAATAGTTATGGTATCTGGTATAAGTTACTTGTAGTATTGCGTTGTCCGGATGTAGTTTTGAATTTTTATGTAACTTATCCCTATGCCTCATACATCTCAACAAGCCCGGAGTTATCTATGGCTTGATGATTCGCCTGCGACTTGGGATAGTCACTTCCATGGAGTGAGTTTCAATTATTCTTACAATAATACCTGATAAAGTAGTTACCGCAGTTGTTGCATTTGTGGCATTATAAATTGAACTGAAGTCTGTGTCGGATAACTTTTGGACTATCGAGGGATAGTCGATTTTTAAGCGAGTGCTACGAGAAGGATTTCTTTTTATTATTGGATTCAAACTAAAAACCACTGGGGCGTGATCGGTTATAAGGGAATCAAGGACACATGTTAAACCATAATGTTCTGATCTTAGCATCATATGATCATTGCAACTGTCATTTCGGGTCGGGATTTGGTGAGCGGGTAGAAAACCATGGAATGCCATCAAATCCGAGTATTTGAGAGTGCTTGCATCCCCATTGTTCGGCGTAATATTTATGTTGATATCACCTACTATAATTACCGTCTTAACCGAATGCAAGGATGCAATACATTGGTCAAGGCCATCACAAAAGTTATCAATACTTCTATGTGAGGGTGAGCGATAGATAGCTACTATAGCATATTCACTTCCAGATTTGAGGATTAAACAATTTGCATCAGCTATTAAGGGGGTTACAACAGTATGTTCTATGTCAGATCTAATATATATCAGTACGCCGTCGTTTTGGTTGTAATAATTTGAGGTATACGACGTGTAGCCATTTATTGCCGGTATGTTCGCGGTTTTATTTAACCAACATTCAGTCAGTACAATAATGTGACATTCGATAACCATTCTATCCAGTAGAACAAGTAAAGCATCAAAGTTACAATTTATACTGCGAATATTCGTATGCAATGTGGTCAACGATGTTTGGAGAGCACTAATATGTTCTATAAGGTTATGGGGCGAACATATAATTGACTTAGAACTTTTTACCGAGTCAATATCATTGGATATATCATCAAAATGAGCCATTCCTGTTATGAAAAATTATATGAACTATCTTATGTTTGCAAATGAGCGATACTCGTTCGCCATTATAGTAGTAAATAATAACATGCTGATAAAAGTAAAAATAATGTTTGCGAATGTAAGTGTGAGACTGGTATATAACCGTGTATGTCAAATGTGTGCCGTTTGTTGTAGAAATATATGGAGTAGCATTACAGTGTGGAATGATGTATGTTATGTATCTATAATAGGAATAAAGATGTGCTTGTGGTGGAAATAATGCTTACATAGCTTAAAATTCAATCCAAGTAGATACTTAGTATAGCAGTTGTAAATTAAATAGAACATGCAAACAATATAATTAAAGTGCCAAACTGTATTATCCAGTCACGAATCTTGATGGGTATCCAGTCGATCCAAATCACTTGCCGACTCAATTCGATATGCGGGAGCGCCCGTTCCCTTACGGAGATAGACTCTTCCGTGAGCAGTCCAGCAGAATTCATAACCGTTCTTCTTACAGTACTCACGAGCTAGATAGAAAGTTCTTTTTGTTTTCTGTGTAAGGCATTCAGAGACAAATATCGGTTTAGGCTACCCTGCCATTTCAAGATGTGTTGTGTTTAATTTGTTGTGGTTATTAATCCAATTAAACGATTTAATGGAGGATAACAGTCTTTCCTTCATTATCACAGAATAGAAATCGATGATAAT